TTAACACCCTGATCGAATTTCCTTGACAATAAAATTTACAATTTCTTTCCATATTAGTGATGCTTCTTATTTTTAGAATCGCCTAAATGTCATAATTGAACTTGATCTTAAACTTCACTTATCAGCCAAATTAATGAGCAACATTGTTTACTGTTTAATCCATTTTCATCCCTTTCTCATGACAAAACAAACTCCTTAATCTCAGTGGACGAAACTAATTCACTCAATCACACAACAATCATTCAAAGTTTCAAACTTCAATGCGATTTCTCTCATAATCTAAACAACCTACCATAGTAATTTAAAGAGCAATACAATATAATGTATAAAGGAAGCACATTGCCAGTAATAAATCATATATCCTCACATTATAATAGAAAATCAACATTATTAACCTAATATAATAAGTCTTAGATTGTTTATAGTTCGATCAGAAAACTATATAAAATTACCTAAAGACCGCAAAATTAGGAAAATTCTTTTTTTACTAACAAACAAATTAACATAAAACAAATAGAGAATAATTGTTGCAAAAATTCAAACTACTTTGTACTTGATAATTTACAAATGTGGTTCTTAGAAAAGTGACACACCCTAATATTAATAGAAACAAACAGATAACTGAGAGCAAGACTATGACATTTTGACTAAAAACACCTATTAATACCAAAATTAACTTGAACTTTCAAAAACCTAATAAATACAATTAAATTTCATTCCATTTCCACAATATTTGGACCACCTGAAACAAACACTTTAACTTTCATAATAAATGTGGCAGATATTAAGATAAACAAATAATTAACTATAAAAAACAAAAATATAACCAAATTCAAATTACAATAAAACTCAATAAATAAATAAATAAATTGAAAAAATGAAAATTAAAATGAACCCTTTTCATTTTTTGAAAAACCCATGAAAAAGAATGAACCTTTTAGAAGATTTTCAATGGTGGTGGGACATTAATAATGAGCAAATAAGGATTAAGTACATAATTAATAAAGTAATTAAGTAATAATTACAAAAATTTAATGACTAAAATTGAATTAAAAGTGAGTAATACAGTACCCCAAGGAGGATTAGAGTCTATGCAATATTCAAGGTCTTGAAGTTGTTCCATGGGAGGATGACTAATGTCCGCCATTGTTAAAGAGCTTCAAAAACAGCAGAACAGAGTTCCCCTGTTTTTTAGAGAGAGAAACAGCAAAAATGAAGAGAGAGAAAGTGGAGAAGTGTGAGAGAGAAGAGAGAATATAAATTTTTTTGATGAAGAAGAATTAAAGTGAAAATTGTATTTAACAGATAGAAAGGTGGCTATACTATAGAAGAAGAAAGAATGAGAAAATAATAAAATTTTATTAAAATAAAATAAATAAAAGAAAGAAAATAAAAAATTAGAAAGTTAGAGAGAAAGAGAAAGAAAAGTGGAGAAAACTTATTCTTTGGATTTTGGGTTTGGTTGCTCTTTCTGCGCAAATTTCCAGTGATAAACTCAAAAAATTTAACTTCTTTTTTTCAATTTTTTGTCATGGAATTGGAATATTAAGTTTTGAACTTTGGGAACTATTTTGTGATTTTACAAAAATAGCCTCTATAGTATATATTTAACTCGATAGCGATTTGGTAATAGGTAGGAGTGTTCGGTTATACCATGTAAATGATATTATAAACTTCAATTATTGTTTCAATTAGTGTAATAGTGTTAGGGAAAAAAAATTGAAAAATTAGCATGCTGCATTGGTTATACAACAAAAATTAGTGGAGGTCATGTGATGATACAAGTATAATGAGGCTCAAATGCTCAATGTACAATCCTTGATGTTGGTGAACAATTACAATTGACTAATGTAAAAATATTGTACTATTAGGAGCTAAAAAGCATGTAAAGGACTTTAAAAGGTTATATTAAGTGTTTGTAAATATTCTTTCAAAAAAAAAAAAAAGTGTTTGTAAATATTAAAACATTTTTAAAATTATGAATTTTGGAGATGTCGGCTAACTTAGTTTAATATATTGATGTGCTATCTAAAACTAAAGATTGAAATTTATTGGTGTACTTTTCTCTCAATACCAACAAAAATTCATGTTATTTCATACAGTCATACATATGTAGTATATATTCATAATAAGTTGTTAAATTTGACTTGTTTAAATACAATATTGTACTAAATATAAAATACATATAAAGTTAAGCTTTCTTGATTTGGAAATATCTCGAAATAACATTCTAATTTCATCCATTTATGTAACCATTGATGGAAATAATCTTGACGGATTTGTAATATGCTAATGAATTTTTAAAATGTTTTGAATTAGTTAAGAAAATTACTCGGTAAAATTTTTGAATTTAAAATATAACGTAACTTAAAACTTGAAAAGGACATTATCTTAACAGCAATATTATGAGCTTAACTCGGGTCAAAATTAACTAGAATTAGATAGACTATAAGTAGATTTTTAGTACAAAAATACGTACTTACATAAATTTGTCAGCATTTGGAAAAAGATTTATGATAATAAGCTCAAAAACAAAACTCATCATTTGTAGTATTAAGAAGTGGGGTCCAGAAAAGGTCAGGAAGTCAGGAGTATTATTCAAAAACGGTCAATAACATCATCAGAATTCACAGGCTTATGATGTGGAGTCAATATGATCTCATTTTTTTATGTACGGTTGACTGTTTTTTTTATTTTATTTTTGTAATTATCATTCATCAAATCTATGTTGTCGATCAACGCTTCTTGAATAATCATGATTTTGGGGAAATTCATCCTTTCTTGGTCATTCCATTTCAAGGTTTTACTAGTCGTCTAGAGCTACTGTACTGTTGGGTCTTCTAGCTAGAATCTAAGGGCTTGTTACAATGATACACTGAAGTGAAGTAAGCTGAAATGAACTGTTTATAAGTGAAGAAAATTAAGAACTGAACTAAACTAAATTAAAGTTAAATTAAGCTGAAAAGAGCAAGTTCCTACTATGTTGTTTTAGGTGGTATATCACTATATCGTGTATGCTCTCCCTCATCTAGTGTTAATATTATGATTGGGTATTACATGATTATTTAGGGAAAACGATGGAATAAAAGTTAAAAATTTATTGTGAGATGAACTTATATTGTTGTTGCATGATTTAAAGACGAGGAATTCTAGGACTCTAACAAGGGGTATAATCGTCCATTTACCTTTACCATACTTGAAAAAAATAATTTTATAACACATGTTGATATTTCATTATACTCTTGATAGTATCACCATGATAACAACCACCTTATTCAATGATACCAACGAACATAAAATTGTTTTGTTGGTATCCATATAATTTGTTGTTGGTATCATATGAAATACCAACGTGTGCTGTTAGAGTCATAAATATCTTTAACGGTTAGAGTCATAAATGACTCTAACGGTTAGAGTCTAAGATTTCCTCTTTAAAGACGTTGAGACAATTTAAGAAAACAAGTGTGAACAACAATGTTCGATAAAGAAAATACCTTAAGTAACATCAGGGGTGTTTCAAAAAGAAAAAAAAAATCGTACAAAGTACAAGTAATAATTTTTACACCATAAAATTTTAGGTATTTGCCTTAAAGCCTCGTTTGAAAAAATGCATTTTTTGTTGATACCATAATCTTCTTTGGAGTAAGAGGGTAACAAAACTAAATACTCCATATCAGTTAATTATTATATCTTTATAAGCAAATATCACCAAATTGTTATACACTTATACTGTAGCAATTTAGCATGATTTTGGTGTAGCCGGCTAACAACCTAATACACATCAAAACACTAATCAAGTAACCCTGACTGACTGAGTATCCTTTGATCGACTGAGTAATTAAATGACCAAGTAACCCCAACTGATCGGAAAATTGTGTTTTAATTGTTTGGGTGAGGGAAATAAATAAAGTACTCCGTACTTTGTACTTGGTATCACTCAATAACTAAACTAAAGGACAAGGCAACGAGTCTTTTAAAATTTGCACGATATTAATAGACAAGAACCTAGTGAATTTAGTCTTTTAAAATAAACAGTACTCCATAATTATTAATTAATCACACCTATGTACTATAATGCCATTTGGTTTAAGGTATAATTATGCGAACATAAACAATAAACAATTGCCAATAAAATAAAATCAATAAATAATTTAAAACATTAATTCTTGACAGTCGTAACGATACTACTGACAGTATTTTTGTTCCTCACTGCTGTCTTCGAGGAATAATCGTTAAGCCTATTTGATCTCCCTTTTTATTATTCTTAAAGAAAAAGCCCATCGTTCTCGGCCCAGTATTTATACCTACGAAAAGATGAATGGCCCATGGTTGCAAACTCGACCAAGTAGCCCAAGCCCAAACCATGTGTTTTTTTTTTTGGGTGGGAAGGGGTTGGGTATGATTGATGGATAGATTCATAACTAATCAATTAATCATATGTGATACTGAGGTGGATTCGAACCCTCGTGGTTTTCACACGTAATTTATGGTTGATTTATGAACTGATCTTAAAATGTAAAATAAAATCCTAACATTAACTGTTCTTTTACACTCTTTTATTGTAATGTGCTTGTAAGAAGAAACAGAGAAGGTACACCTCCAAGTGACAAACGGGAGAAATCAAATAAAATAGATGTATTCACAAAAAAAAACATGTTTGGAGTAACTATTTTAGATTAAGATCAACTCACAAGATGTAATATTTTGTACAATAATGTCATTAATTTTGTTAAACATCTAATTTTAAATGTTAGATTTTCACACTCCTTTACCGTGTAAAGCCAAAAATACTTAGCCACAAATAACCGCAAACAAAATATATGATGTGATCAAATATAAGTAGAACCGGACAAAATTTACATTGACTTGCTTTTCATATATCACCCCATTCAACCATATAACCATCTATTAATAACCGGAGTTGGTAGGAAACTCAGTTTGTGACTCTGAGGTTACAAATTCAACCCCCTATTAACTCAAAATACTTGGAATAAAGGGATTCCCTACCTCCCCCCTCTACTCTCAACTCTCAAGACTTATGGAGTTAAGCTAGTTAAACGTGTAATAGGTGCTGATTCAGCGATGTCTTTCTTCACCCCTTAAAAATAATACTCCCTCCGTTAAAAACATTCAACCATCTTATTAATCTGTGATCCATCACTTCACTAAACGTACAGGTACAGTATCACCAACTCCATCAGTTGGCTGCGCCATTTCTTTAATCCACCGACAATCCCCAATTTCGAATCTTCCAACTAATTTTAACCGAACCCCAATTCTAAACCCCACAAAATTCCCAAATCCCTAATTTCCATTTTCCCGATGAAATCAACCCTAATTTCAATGTGATTCTAAAGTCAAAATGGTTTCATCTTCATCAGAAATCGAAGTTGTTTCAGATTCAATCTCATCAAATCACATCAATCAACAACAACAACAACAACAAGTGATTGTTATCACTGATGTTTTTACTGCTTCAGTTCATGGCGATTTGATTAAACTTCGTAAATTCGTCGAAGAAGATGGCGCTTCTCTTTCTCTTCCCGACGCTAATGGTTACTACGCTTTGCAATGGGCTGGTCTTAACAATTTCCCCAATATTGTTCAATATATTATTGAGGTATTTTTATTAAAGATTAAACCTGAAATTTTAAATTTGCCGCTCTTTTTTATGATGTTTGTATTAGAAATTTGCTTAATTATATTTAATTTTCATTCATTATACCTTTAACAGTACTATATTGTGAATATTTGTGATTTTTCTGTATTTTATACTACATGATATTATCTTGATTTGAATCAGGGTTATATAATGAGGTTGTTGAAATTGGGGATTATAAGTGTGAAATGAGATTGTTTTATTGAATGTGTTTGCAAATTAGGTGCTATATGTTGAGCTTACTTCTGTTTTTTTGATGTGATTAAAGCATGGTGGAGATGTGAATGCCACCGACCTCAGTCAACAGACAGCATTGCATTGGGCTGCTGTTAGAGGCTCTATTGTGGTCGCAGACCTGTTGTTGCAGAATGGGGCACGCGTTGAGGCTTCGGATGCTAATGGGTATAGGGTAATTGCTTTGCTGAATTGTTTTACATGTTAGTACATCATTTGTTTGCGAGTAACATTTATATGAATATCGGTTTGTGTCAATCTTTTGGGTATAGGCTGAACTGCTTCCAGAACTAGGCTGTTCTTCGTTACAAAACATTTAAATTTGCAAGGCTAGGTGCTTGCAGTTAGGGTTTTATGCATGTCATAGTAAGAATGTTGTTTGACTATTTCCATTTTCCGGCTTTAAGAGATTTCCTTGGTGTTTCCTTAGTGAAGCAGTGTCTATAAATTAGGACTCCTATTCCTATAAATATGAATAATATTTTCCCTTGTTTAAATTGAAATTCATACTTTTTGTGGTTAAGCCTTAGTTTTGAAGCTTTTGACAATTCTACATTTCACAGGCAGTTCATGTTGCTGCTCAATACGGACAAACAGCCTTCTTGAATCACATTATTGCAAAATATAATGCTGATTTTGATGCACCAGATAATGATGGAAGGAGCCCACTGCATTGGTGAGTTTGAGCCTTGAGGCATATATGTGGGAGTTTACTTGGCATGATTGATACAATATATCAATGTATGGTGGCTTTCCATATTATTTCTTCTTTCTTTACTCTATAAAGTATCATCAGCAGTGTATATTATGATCGAATCCTCTGCAAACCTGCAATTATTTGGCATATTAGGTGTGGTTTGGCTAAGGGCTGATGGCGTCACTGGTCTTTGTTCAGAATATGAACATAATCCTAGCTCTTGTATCGTCCTCCTGTGATTATTGTTCAATTTCCTGTATAGTTAGACAACAAAGCTACAACCTTGTGATTCTTGCTGAATTGGAGTTGGCAATAGTAAGATGTGCTTTTGCATAGGCACAGACGACCCAAGAAAAAGGGGTGGGAGAGAGAGTGTGGGGGAGTTTTATTAGACCTAGATACACCTTAAGTTTTCTTTCTTGATTTTATCATATAGGAAGATCTGCGCATCAGTTGCCCCCCCTGGTTTTTTTTGGGTTAGATTAATTAATGCATGGTTCATTAGCTTGAAGGCTTCCTAAGGTGTCCTTTTGCAAAATTCTATTTCGCTTAGGCTGTTGTCTGCTGAGCCAAGTGGGATCTGTGGCTTATATCTATTGCCAAGCTTTAGTTTAACTCCCGGCAAGCCTAATTATATCCTTAATCTTATTTTGCCACATTAAGGAAGCTTAAGTCGGCATTTGATTTGAGCTCGCTTGCTCTAGATTTTTCTTTGTTGCTATGATCTAATATTTGTTTATGATTGTAAAAAAATTATTGTCGCCTTTGATGAATAAAAATAAGTGTTTTAACAGTCTTTTAACCAGGGCTGATAACTTCCTTTGACCAGGGCTGCTTACAAGGGATTTGCAGATACAATCAGATTACTTCTGTTCAGAGATGCCAACCAAGGGAGGCAAGATAAAGAAGGTATGTCAATCATAACCTTTTCAGTTGTTATTTCATTTCTTGGTTTAAGGTCGCTCACTGATGCTACACATTAGACTAATCTTACTATCTGGACTTCTGGAGTATTAGCAATATCGGATTCCTAGTGGTATGTTTGTGCATTATGTGATTTAATTACTAACCTACTTCTAGAAAAAGAAACATGTGCCAGGTAACATATATCATATAGGTTAATACATATGTGAATTTGTAACTACGCATACACCAACACACGTATATCACCGTAAAAGTACTTTATAACTCCAACAAAGCACATTCACAGGGATAGTGGTAGACTGGTAGTTACACACGGATAGTGGTACAATAATACATTCACACGTATGTGATAGTGGTAGTTCGTATGTAGCATTGTTGTAGACGCAGTGGTACAATTTATATAAAAAAGTGTGTAGTTTGAGAGACATTTTATTTCCAAAAGTGCTTCATCCTCTCCATTTCTTTCCTGCTCCCCAACATGTTAATAAGCTTTTATGTTTATGGTGATATTGATCTTATTCGCATCTTTGCCTGCTTTTATGCATTATCGTGGACTTAGATTGTCTAATTTGATGACTTTCTTTGTGTTGTTAGGTTGCACTCCTTTGCATTGGGCTGTTTTAAGGGGACATGTTGAGGCATGCAGCATACTCGTGCATGCTGGCACAAAAGAAGAATTGTTGGTGAAAGATAAAGCTGGATTTACCCCTATCGAGCTAGCATATGATAAAGGTCATCGGCATGTCGCCCTTTTGCTTGTACGTGATAACAGCGATATAAATGAGACTGTGGCCCCTTTTTTTTAAGAGCTTAATCAGTTTTCATGATTGTTTTTCTCTGCTCTCTTTCTTTTTATCCTCTTAGTTTTCTAGAAAATAATTTATGTTCTAAATTTCTAGTTCATGTGGGCATAGCATTTATCAAAATTCAAACCATACTGAGAGGGCTAAGAATGTCGTGTTGTTTATTTTCCCATCTCCTGACAACAAAATCTAACAAATGAAGACTCCCATCATAGCATCTCCTCCCCTCCCCCCCCCCCTTTTTTTCTTGTGTATATCTTGTGTTTGGGGGAAAGGGAATGGTGAATACAATTGCGTCATGCTTTGAGAAACTCTCCACTTGGGAAAAGATGACTTCAGTTTTGTAGAATGTAAAGATTACTGTTTTGTTGATTTGGTGACATTTTGTTGTTCGTTTCAGTCTAAACTTCAGCGGGCTCATAATAAGAGTCTAAAAAGCACATTTTTTACTGGGAAGATTGTTGGAGCTGGCTATGCTCCGTTCTTGTTTTGCACCATCTTCTGTTGCATGATCCTTTTCATTAATTCAGTTCTCTTAGGTGAGTGAGATCCATTTTTCCCTCTTGCATCGGTTGAGTTTAAGATGATCTATTGATTATCATAACTGATTTATCATAACTCAATCTAGCTCCAAGTCTTGCAAAGGTTACTGCTGCTGTTGCACTCTGGGGATGGACCGCTGTAACTCTATGTATTATTGCATTGCTAATGTTTTATCGTTGTAGCAGGTATCTTCTTGATCCATAGTTTTATTCTACTAGTATTTTATCATTGATATTTGGAAATGGAGTGAACATAGTTAAAATGAGAATCATTGTCATACATATGGAACCCCACTCTCCTCTCTGGGCTTTTTGCTGTACATACAAGGATAGATTTGATATGTAGTTACAAATACAATATCTGTTTTAAAAGTCAGATATAGTACATATTCATGTTGGCTTTCTTGTTATGCTCAATTTGTTAATTGTATATCTGATATATTGCAGTAAAGATCCAGGATACGTCAAAAGATCTGATAATTCTGGTGATCTTAGTAAAGCACAGGTACAATAGTTGTTTGTCGTGCAATTATTATACGAAGTATAATCATTTTTCTTCAAAATTTATACTTCGTAGATATTTTGATTCAAAAGACTCCCTTTAACTTTTTAAACTACACTTTATGTTTTATCCCCCGTACACCACAATATTTACACCATCCACTCACTCTGAGAGGGTTGAACAAAGCAGTCATAGGGTATGAGGATTAAATTCCTTGAAAAAAATCTGAAATAGTTGTTTGAATATGAACATGGAGGGAGCATGAAGACTGAATTTATTTTTCCTTTTTTCTGGGAATTTTCAGGATCCTTTATTGAATCTTGATATGATAGACTCCTCTGTTTGGACCGGAAATTGGTCTCAGCTTTGTCCAACATGCAAGGTAAATTTCATTGGAGTTTGCTTCTTTAGGTTTTGATTTGTTTGCTAACTTGTAAAGTTGCTATTGATATGTTTAGCATCTCATTTAATTTAACAGATTATTAGACCACCCCGTTCAAAGCACTGCCCTACATGTAAACACTGTATTGAACAATTTGATCATCATTGCCCTTGGATTTCCAATTGCGTGGGGAAGGTAAGTGCAGTCGTACAGATGCTGGCTTCTCTTATTTTAATTTGATCATTTGTGAGTCAATTTACCTGACCGTCTTTGTTTAGGTCTCCATTATCACTTGCTCTTATAAAAAAAAAAAATTGCCAATTGTGGGTATGACAACATTAATGTTATGTTTATTATCTTTTAATGATTGGGTTCAAAAATCATTGAACAATTACTGTTAGGCTAATTTTAATACCTGGATGTTGCAGAATAGTGCAAATTTTCCATTTTTAACTTATGTAGTGGACCAATCTATGCTCTCTAAATTAAGCTTAGTAGATCTGAGATGGAAAAGTTGTCGTGGGATGTCATGCCATAGGTGTTATTTTTGATGCCTTAATGGTGGGTGGATTGGTGGAATATATCTATTCAAGATTTGGAATAAGTCAGAAGATAACTTAAGCTTAATGTCATGATTCATAATTGATTAAATGAGTGAACACATGGGCAAGAAAGAAAGGGTAACAACTTAGTTCATGCTGGAGAATCCTGATATTAGCTGAAAGGTGTTCCTCACTACTGTCATTTCGCCTCTGAGAGTATATCTTATTGTTGTTTATGATAGAAGTTTTATCATACTTCAATGTGCTGGCTTATTTTAACACCACTATCAGACTTAAAATAATATGGTTTACTTGCGGGTTGGCTCAGTGTAATTCCTGCTTGCTACGGCATAAAAAATTATGTGTGCAAATTCACTGCAAATTTGCAATAAGCGAATAGATAGTTGTTGATAAAGTGCTAATTTTTCTTTTTTTATACTATAAATTGGTGTTATTGGAATACATGGCTTAGTCTGATTGTGGGGAACTTGGATAGAAAATTAATAGTATTGTTTCAAAAGGGAGGATGATGCTTACATGCTTTAGTCATCATTTCAAGTACTTTTTTTTTTTAAGGTTTTGGCTGTCAGTGCTTAAAAATATATAACAAGTGCATATGTATGATAGAAATAGGATTCTTTTTCTTGCTTAATCTTCCGCATTTTGATTCTCTATGGTCTGCCTGTGTTGCAGAGGAACAAATGGGATTTCTTTGTTTTTCTGTGTCTTGGAACAGCAACATCGTCTATTAGCGGAGTGATAGCTATTTTAAGTATGTGAGTTTCAGTTACAATGAGCTTTGAACTTCTGCTGTACTACATTGTGATGCCACATCATTCTTGGATCACAGATGTATATTTATGTTACAGGAATTTGGACTGCTGTACCCGCAATTCCAACTAGTGAAACATGGACGCACTATGTGATAACTCATTATTACGGAGTTACGGTCTTCTTGGTGATAAATTTCTTAATATTCGTCTCTGCAACAACTCTGGCCGTTGCACAAACAAGCCAGGTATGGTGATAAGTCTTACTTCTTGAAGCAGTCATAGCTGCTTAAACAATTTGTAATGTTTGTTAAGAAAAAAAAAATAAATCTGTCGATTGCAAAAATGTTGATCCAAGTAGTAATCTTTCCTCAATATATCACAAACATCTTTCCTTCTTAATGCAGATAGCTCGGAATATCACTACAAACGAATTGGCAAATGCCTCTCGCTACTCATATCTTCGCGGTCCGAATGGCAAGTTTCGTAATCCTTACAACCACGGATGCAAAAAGAACTGTGGTGATTTTCTTATCCAGGGCTACACAGACGATAATGAGGTCCCGTGGCTTCCCTTACATGCAGTTGCCCGGTAAAACAATTCACTGTATCATATAAAGAGCTCTTGCTGGTTCACCAAGCACTCACCATTCATGCGTGCACAACATACTTCTATACACTTGCAAGATGTCGCCGCATATTCAAATCCTGTAAACTTTCTCATGATTCATTCAATTGCCTTTTTTTTAACAATTGGTCCAGTGTACAGTTGATATTTATTTTCCTGTCATATAAGGGAAGAGAATATGAGATGCCATGAAATTCGATTCTGCTACCTTTTTTTTTCCCTTTTAGTTTTGTGGGGGAGAAGATTGTAACCTGTAAACTGTAAAGCAAGCTAAAAGAAAGTGATTTTTGACGTTTTTGCAATGATGCTGGTTGACTATGTTTACATAAATCGAGCTTTAATTCATTTGATGTTACTTTTTTTTTCCTTTTCTCAATTGTCAGACCAAGAGGATATATTCTTGATGTAAAAGTTTACAGCATGCTTTACCAACAGGAAAGTGTACATATATTCCAGCTCAAATAGAGGTAGATTCAGACCTCTTATTATCGTTCCATAATGACAAGAAACTTTTCGACAACCTTAACAACATAAAGATTAAAGAAAGGTTTAGCCCAGTAGAAAGTGTACGATGGAGTCTATACGCGCTTCTTAAAACCTTACCGTAGTAGAAAATGTTTTCATTCATTCACAGTATACCAGTGATAATATCATGCAAAGTTCAAACCCTAATCACCAAGTTTAAGGTTTGTGTCTTCGGCTTCAAGGACAATAATCACGAAAGCAGATTGTCCTTTGAAAAAAAGGGACAAAAGCGAGTTTGAATCTTGAACTCCTTACAGCCTTTCATGGTGGGCAGGGTCCAAGCTTTATATTATGTATGATAATGGATCTATTATGGTCCCAAAGACCTGTGAGACTCTTTTGGCATCTAGGTGAAATTCAAATCATATACCAGGTGATAATTTCGGACAATTCGAACTTGGGTTGGGTAATTCTGTATTTCTAATCGAATACAAGTTTGTTTTTCCAGGTTTATCATGAAACTTTCAAATTATGGTAATTGACAAATTATTGTCAAAATTTAGTGGAAGATCAAAACTGTTGCGTATAGAAGCTAAAGTAAAGTAAAAATTTATTGCTCCTGTAAAGGTCATAAATAACCTCTTGGAATTGTTGGGGTTTTACTACACCAAAAAAAATTCATACATTTTTCTGAGTCCAAACATGAACTTTTGCATGAAACAATTTCTCCAAAGATTTACACAATGCCTTCATTATTTGATGGCAATAAAATGAAATTTCACAAGAAAACACATCTACTGCATGCAAAGTGCAAACAATCTCAAGTTTGTTGTATACCACTGGGCCAAGTTTGATTCTTTATAGGCTTCAGGATGTTCTCTATTTCTGCAAAAGTTTTCTCATCCTTTCCTTCAGCTTCGAGTTCTAAAGCGGCAGCAACATTTTCCTCTACCTGAAATGTCAACCACGAAAACAAGATTACAGTCCACCGGCATTTTCATGTAATGTTAACAATCCAAGAGAATGTCATTCAGTGAGAGATTTTTCAAATCTGCTAAAAACTTGTAGTGTATGTATATTTCAGGACGGCTAACAGAATGTAATATGAAATTCTAAGGGTATAGTGTTCTTGCAACAGACTCCATACTCAAGTCTCAAGCTAATCAAGTCTCAAGCTAATCAGAAAGCTACAACTGGTGTTATACAGCATTTTTCCCTGAGACTACCTTGAAACATCAATCTCATAGTTGATTGTTGATAAATTAACTTGTGCTGTATATTGATATACTTCACAAGGTGACTATACAAGAGAACCGTTTTCTAAATAACTTCGCAATCTATAGTCTTGATTCGAGCAGTTCGGGAACAATGAGAAACATTAAGCTTCTCTACTTGAATATAAATAGGGTGATAAGGCAAATAGGAACACTGACCTGCCTAACAGAGTTCATGCCAACAAGGGTAGTAGAAATGTCTTTGTTTGACAAGCTGTACTGCAAAGCCAACTTTGAGATATTCTTTCCATTCTCCTTACAATATTCAGCAGCAGCTTTACATGCAGCCTGCAAACAAGAAATCACAAAGATAATATGAATAACGGAAATTTTTGAATGACAACGGTAAGTCCATTAAATATTGGACGGGCATAATATCTTGGTCCGATTACTGAATATTGATGAAATAGATATAAACCTTAATCTCTGTTGAAGCTGGATGCCACTCTGGAGGACCATTTTCGGTATGAAGCCCCATTGAAAGTGGAGAAGCATTGATCACACCAACACCTTTGCTCTTCAAGTACGGTAGCAAATCTTCCAAGGTCGAGTCATTTACACAATAGTGGCAATATGACAGAACAACATCAATTGTCCCAGGTGGAACTCGGTCAAGAACATACGTATATACTTCCAATGGAAGTGCAGTTATACCAATGAACCTAGTCTTCCCAGACTCTTTAATTTTCTGAAGGGCAGGAATCGTCTCATTGACAATCTGCATAACAAAAAACAAATGACCACAAAGTGAATGCAGATAGCACTCGTAAACCAGGTAGACGGATGAAAGTGATAGATATAGCTATGATAATATTTGTCGCAGATTAGGATAGATATTATCATAACTATAATATCTATCAGAAAGAGTGACCCTGAATTCGAACCTGACCAAGAGAACCGAATTCAATATCATGACATTGTAATATATCAACATAATCAAGTTGCAACCTCTCTAGGCTTTCATCAATGCTCCTAGTAACCCTTTCAGCACTAAAATCAAAGCCTTCGGCATAACGGCCGCACTTAGTTGCAACAATGTACGTATCTCTGGGTGCACCAAGTGCTTTCAAACACTTACCAAGCACCTTCTCCGACAATGTGGCACCATAGTACCTAAACATAATCAAATGAGCTCAATTGACAAGTCTCACAAAAAAGGATTCATCTTTACAACATATGATATCGACTTCGAAAAAATGAGGCTGGCCGCGCAATGCAGCACAACATTGTCACTTAGGTTCCATCCTAAAACCAATTGGACGTGACATAAAGTGGGCAATAATCAGTCCACGTTTCCAATATAGATTAAATCAATGTTCACTAGATTTGTCAATGATTTATTGCATAGAATAGACACCTAAACTATCAATTGGATTACATAAAATCAAATACTGATTAATTCTGTCAAAACCATTTTAACCCCAGAACAAAATTTCAATTTTTTAAGACAAATATAAAGGATTATGAAAAAAATTGATGCCCCACATAAATATCACCAATTAATATCCCAACAATTCCAAATAAATAAGCTTGAAGATAGCAATAAAATTGGGGAGAAAAACAAAAAAAAAGGGTCATTAAAAAGAAATGAAATTAATAGAAAGATGAACTTACGGAGAAGTGTCAAAGAAATTGATACCCAAGTTAAAAGCTTGAGTAACAGTAGCAATGGATTCTTCTTCAGAAACATCACCAAAGACTTTGCCAAGAGGAGAAGCGCCGAAACCCACACAACTGAGATTGAGTCCAGTTTTCCCCAATTCTCGACGCTCTAATTTTAGGTGGGTATTCATTGCTATAATATGGGTTATTGGAAGGGATGTTTTTTTCGGATGATGAAAGATAGGTGAGATGGAAATTGTAAGCATGCCAAAAGTGAAACTCCCGGGTCGCCGGATTAGTTTTTACACGCGCATTGCGTTTGGTATGACTCATGAGCAGTTGAGGTCCTATTTTTTTGAGCTCCTAAACAAGTAGAGTATTTCAGCGGATCAGCTTAAAAGAACGGGATCTTATCTAACACACGAACATATTCTTAATTATAGGTATTAATCATGTTATACATTAGGGTGTGTAATTAATAGTTATAGAATATAGTTACACCTAAATGTCAAATTAGCAATTCATTTCAAACAAATACATTAGGTAACTGAAAAATAGAATCCAAAGACCAAACGTCAAATTAGCAATGCAAATCATTCTTTTGTAGTATAATTGGTATATATTTTTTCTTTGCAAATTTATGTGTTGGTAAATGATATAGTAATGTATAAAACCACAACAATATAAGCGCCGCTAAAGTTGTGCATCTGTTTATAACTAAAGCGCGTTAAAAGTTAAAACTAGCTAGACCCAAACACTGAAACTGTCATTTTTGGTGGACGGAAGATCGAATTGGAATTATTCCAATTGGATTTTGGACCGGATTGGACCGATTTATTCAATGTGCAGTGACATATTTTGGTACAAACAAAAATGTCCATTATAGTTGAAGAGAAATAGTGGTTGTAGATAGTCCAGTACATATTGGGCCAAGTAGCTGCTTCAATTGCAAAGAAGTTTCATGGGATGGCCAAGCTCAGTAGGCCAACCCAACACACTTCGAACTTTGCTTTCCAAACTCTTTTTTCTTTCAATTTGAGACTAGACTTAAGCAGTGGGTTGCAAACATAAGTTACAACAATGAAGCTGATGTATCGAAGACAACTTAGACAAGGTGTCGATATTATGGTCATGAAATGTTAAAAACCATACTAGATTATTGGGTCGTTTCAAATAGTTTGAGGGTTTTGTAAGATTTTTTTAAAACTTGGATTATCCTTAGAATTGAGATAAAAATGTAATACGACTTATGTAAAGCAAAAAAAACATGCATAGCACTATTAAGCGTTAATATAATTAAAGATTGTTTCCTTGGTTATGAGAGGTACATGTATGTGATAATGTAGAAGCTAATTTTGTATGTTAAGTTTAATTAAAGGTTACACTAAGCATATTTTCATGTATGAGAGACCAAGTCACTAACTTACCAAAGACGTAGACGAGTTTTGATTTTTATTCTTGAATACCACTCTCTAAATTTTACCAAGGTATTTGTTATCCACATTTTAATGTAGTTTTGTGCTACCCATAATTCATAAATTTGTAAATCAAAAACATTTATACCAATTAATTATGGAATAAATTTGCAAATCACACTAAATTAGAAAATAAATATCAAATCAGATCATACGATCTTAGGGAAGAAAATTAAGTCATATCAATCAATGAGTTAAACTAAAAAACATAGCCCTACTAAATTTGTCTATACAAAGTTCTGATCTACCTTTTTTGTTGAGTAAGGCAAGATGTCTAACTATTAACTTTGAGAGTTTAAGGAGGAAGAGAACGAAGAGAGGAGAGAAAAGGCATCCATCGAACTATTTAAGTCAAACTGCATGTTGCAACAATGAAAAAAAAAAACGGAAGAAGTACTATTGATGCTACTAATTAACACTACTAGTACATTAGCTAAGGAAATTGAGTAACAAACTACTTCATAAACCAATGTGTAATCTCCAACAGAAATAAACACAGTTAAAAATATTACAAGCGTTTATAACAACCATTAGCATGCATGTTCGTTTTTTTACTCGTATAATTTTTTTTCGTGTTCTCTTTCAATTTGTTTTAAAAAATTGTATAGTTTACAAATATAATTTGCATCGTCATGCTATCGAGTCTATGTTCTAAGCACTTTGGTAGACCTATCTATATTAGGGTTTTGATTCTTAAAATTAAACTTTCATATCATGATAATGACAACGCATATTATTTGTCACATTTATTATTTATTTTATTCCATCTAATCCTATTACAAGCAAGTTGCAAATATATATACATTTTTCATTAATTTTTTTATATTTTTAATACTCTATGCAAATGAATTTATGGGGACCAATAATGTCCCTCAATAAAATAATGTTTGGATATTCTAATTAAAATGTGCCTATATATAATTAGTACGTGGTTGTGTAAATTGATTGATGAACAGGTGATAACGTGAGGGAAATATCCACTTTGGGATGTATGTCGTCATCTTATAGCGTGAGTTTGACTATTTGAGAGAACACTATCTCACAAAATCAGATGTAAATTAATTTTTAATAAACAACAAATTAAAAATCAATAAGAAGTAACACAATACATTTATAGAGGCAAGTTATCACCAAAAAGTGTTGATTATTTTTTGAGAGGAAAGGGATAAGTACCTTTTAATTTTTTGGCCATAATTTCCAAAAAAGACATGCATCAAATCAACAAATTTTATTCCATTCATCCCATATTATTTCTATTAGAGAGTGTACATATTTTTTAGTTAACATACATAAATAAACTTGCTTAATTTCAAATAAGTTTAGATGATTATTTCATATAAATTCTAATAGTTTAATTTTCTCTGATCTATTATACCTAATGTTGCATTACTTTAAATCATTTCTTCTTCTTCTCCTAAAAATTAATGATAAAAAAAATAATACAGGCGCTAAATACTGATTGAATAATAATTGATAAACGTGAAATACCAACCGAATATACTTGCTAGCTACTGAGTAAATTAGAATCGTTGTTTGATTGTTGTTTAATTATATGTAGAGTTCATTATTGCATGTAAAAGTTTTTGGTTGAGTTGGTCATTTAACATGTTATCAAAGTCAGCGTGACACAAAGGTGCTGGATTCAAATCTCATCCATCCCGACCCTCGTCATTTCAAAGTGGAATATTAAACGTTGGGTATGGTAGGGTCCATACTACATCCATACTTCAAGTTCGAGGCTCAACTACAAATTAAAAGGGAAAAAAAAAAAGTCAAGCAAATAGAAAGGAATGGCAACTCCTAATGTAAAGGAAATGGAACCAATGATACGCTTTGCATGAAGAAACTTCAACATTCGAATTCACACACGAGAGTCCAGATATTTCAATTCTGTTTGACCATTTCTCCACCAAATATGACTGACTTTTTTTTATCAACCTTACTATTATATAATACTCGTAGGATTATACTGTATGATACAGGTATTTTCTAGCATTATTTTGTGTATATGCCGGCCAATTTATGGTAGATTTCGGCTAGCTGGATTTTAAATTCTAATTACTTCGTAGCTTCTAGAAAATTATATTAACAATTCACTTTCTTACTTTCAGACTATTTTTCTTCTGTTTTACTTTTTTTAATTAGATCATGTTCTCATAATCTTATGTACGTAAATTAAAGTACGGGTTATATTCAATAAAAAGGTGAACTTTATTTTCTTCCTCTTCCAAAAATTTAGGATTGGAACAATAAAGGTGGTAAATAAAGGTTTTCCTACTTTGATTTGACAATTTGATAAACAGTTGAAAAATATTAAAAAGAGAGATTATAATTAAATTATTTCTTTTTTATTAAAATGTTTCTTCTAGTCAAAGAATGCATAATTTGTTGTCACTACCATACCTTATCATATTTTGATTCTAAGTATCAAAACAATTGCAAATTTATAGATTTGGGAAGATCATGAAAATTAAATCATTTTGTGTACTTGGGTTTATTTAATTTAAGGAAAAAATTGTCTTAACAAAAAAAATTCACATTTGTTAGTTGTTGAAAATTACATGTGATCTAAATTGAACTAATTAACTAACCTTTGTGCATGCTTCATATATTTACACACCGGTGTGATGTTATTCTAATTTAAGAGATACATATATACAAACTAATTATTATTCCAGTCTCATTTTACATGTTCAGATCCATTTGTAGTCAAATGAGACAAATAAACTAAGAGTGGGACCTACAAGAAGGTTATAGACAATTGTATCGTTTGTTGTCCATTATTGATTAACTTTTTTTATATATTTTTTTTGATAATGTGAAAGAGTACCTATTAACCAATCTATACTAGTGTAAAATATTAATGGTATATATTAGTGCAACATAAGAAAGCTTAACCTAATAAGAACACAATTGAAGAGAAAGACAAATATATGGCGCGTGTCAACAAAGAGTAACTAGCCGCGTACGTAATGACTTACGACTTGTCAAACCCAATTAAAATTAATTACTTTAATTAGCAACTAATTCAACGTCTATCTGGAGTAATCATTATCTTACATTTATATATATCACACACATTAATCATATGAACCCACTCAATATATTATATTTTACTTAGTATGGCCATCTAATAAAATTCAATTAATTAGATATAATCTCCATGATTCATGGTGTACCCGTCACTAATAATTGCGCAAATTATAACCCATGTTCACATTATTTCGATAACCCATTATATATAACAAGGTAGTGTATGCATTAATTTCTAATAAGCAAGATTATTATTAAGCATTATTAGCAGAATTTGGAGCTTATTCATCACTTAATTAAGATTGGAAATACAATTTGTGTCAAGAAACTTGAATATTATATATGGAGGCTCCCATGATTACAACAGGCTTCACTGATATGGTAATTACTAATTGGTTATAACTATAGCTATACAAGAAGTTAATTTAATTTATTCGTTTAGCTATTTTTTTTTAAAAAAAAAATTACGTCTCTATTATCTAGTTTAACCGTTGTATATCCAGATATTTTATAAGATGTAACTAGTTTGCATGTGTGCGTTTCTCAATCTTTAATTATGTTGCCTTGATTTTTTTTTTTCAGGAATTGGATGATTTTAGCTTTATTGATCATTTGCTACAAGTCAACTCATCATCAATTGAGGAATTATTTGGACCACCATTGTTATCGTCTTGTGAAGATACATTTCAACAAGATACAAATTACAACCAAGTTATGAGATCTCCACAAATCGATCATCATATCAAACAACACAAAACAACTAATTGGAGCTCATATAAGATTGATGAACATGCATTGATCACTACTTCACACGATGATGATGATTATTCTAATTTGAATATGTTATCATTTTCATCAAATTCTCCAATGTATTCACAAAATTGCATTCCTAAAGCTACTCAAGTTGCTAAGAAAGGTAGCGCGGCCTTGGCTACTAGCTTGTCATCACAACAATCTAATAAGGATCACATTCTAGCTGAGAGGAAACGCCGTGAGAAGCTTAATCAGAGATTCATCGCTTTGACAGCCACCATTCCTGGACTAAAGAAGGTATGTACATACATACATAAAAAAATTCCTAGCTACATACCTCTTTTTATCATTTAATTTAGTCATTTGTACCAAAATATAAGGAGGCTGTTATCTACGCAATCTCCATGTATATATAAAGAAGTAGAATATCTCATGGAAAGTACAAATTTTATGCATAAATGAGTTTTTAATAACACATACATAGTCTTATGAAATATTAATAAAATTCATGTAAATTGCATTAGTTTGGAAAGTGAATAGGTGATTATATTATACTTTCTAGCTTAATTAGTTACATTCTTAATTAAATTGTAATGTATGGTTGGTGCACCCGGGTGCACCATGCAAGAACATAAGGTATATTTAAAAGAACATGGGCAAAAAAAGAACATTATATATATTTATAAAGAACATGAGCATAATATGTTCTTTAAGTTTGATGATTATGTTCTTTGAGTTTGAACTATATGTTCTTTATATTATACAATATGTTCTTTATATTATACAATATATTCTTTAATGTATGTACATTAAAAAAAAAAAATCAATCACTCGAGTAACCAGAAAAAAGAACATGTTCTTTAATGTATTATCATGTTCTTTTTGTAAAGACTTTATGTTCTTTGGCTAGAGGTGATCAAAGTTAGAACGGCCCGACCTGATTTTGGACAGGTTTTGGGCATAATTTTTTCGCCCCCAAAATCGGGTCGGACTCGACCCTTAAATTTAATTTATTGGGCGGGTTTAGGAATACGTTTTATGCATTTTAGTTGATTTTTTTTCTCGACCCGAAAGCCCGCATGGGCGGACAATTTTGGGCACAAAAACTTCAGCCCAAAATTTGGCCCGACCCGAGAAGTGAGCTGATTTTTTTAACCTTGGCCCGACCCACCCAATGATCACCTACATCTTTGTGAAACACGAACATGTTCTTTTTTGTCAAATATAATGTTCTTTTTCAAACATGTTCAGCACCTAAATAACCTTGAAAAATAACATGTTCTTTTTGTAAAGGCTTTATGTTCTTTATAATGTCATGTTCTTGTCAAACACAAACATGTTCTTTTGTCAAACATAGATATGTTCTTTTTCTAACACTAGCATGTTCTTTTTTTTTGCCCATATTCTTTAAAATATGTCTAATGTTCTTTCCGGGTGCACCATGCGCATGGTGCACCCGGGTACACTATACTATTTTAAATTAAATTGCATTAGTTTGGAAAGTGATGATACTTTGTAGCTTATTAACTAGTTACACATATTCCCGTCAATATAAATATATATATAAACTTATTAACTAGTTACACATATTCCCTTCACAAAAAAAAAAAAAAAAAAAAAAAAAACAAACAAACTAGTTACACATATTAGGTGTTCAACTATGTACTACGTAATTATATGAAAAAACCCTAGTTAATTATATTTATATAAATACATGTCCTTTTTAACTAATTAATTACATGTCCTTTAACTAATTAATTAAATAAATGTATAGATGGACAAGGCTTCAGTACTTGGAGATGCCATCAAATACGTGAAACAATTGGAAGAGCAAGTGAAGACACTCCAAGAGGTAACCAAGACTAAAATAATTGAATCTGCGGTGTTAGTGAAAAGATCTAGGGTTTTCGAAGAAGAAGAAGAAGTTGATCAATTTTCGACGAATAACACAATCTCTAGGGGATCCTTTGATGGTACATTATACCCAGAAATCGAAGCTAAATTCTCCAACAAAGATGTTCTTATAAGGGTACATTGTGAGAAGAAAATTGGAATCGTTGAAAAGCTCATTTCTTATATTGAGAACCTTCATTTGGTTGTTATCAATAGTAGTACGTTGGTTTTTGGATGTGCATCTATTGATGCTACAATTATTGCTCAGGTAATTAATTATATATCGCGTTCTCCTTAATTACAATAAGAATTTTTTGAATTTTTCTACTGCCCTTTATGCATGAAATAATTATTATTACTAATATTATTACTATTACTATTAATACTACGTATTATTACTATTATTATTGAGATTTCAAACTTTGTCACTTGTTACGGAGTATATATATTTGACCTTTTGATATTTTAATGAAGTTTTATAAAATAAGCAAAAATAGGATCGATATGATCAAATTAAAATCAATGGTGATAGTAATAATTATAATCCAATAATTTTCAGTGTTTCACTAATGAATTTTTATGTTCAGATGGATGCTGAATTCTGTATGACAACCAACGATCTAGTCAGACATTTACATGTTGCTCTCAAACGAACGTTGACCGAATGAATCACAATTTATACAACAAGAGAGGACTCATCGGATGATAACCGTATAAATTAAATAGTCATGTTGATAATGTAATTTAGACATGTAATGTATTCGTAACAAGCTAATAACTACAGTAATTAACTTCGTTCTTATCTATGAACTCGTATCATTTCCACACTCTTTCTATCCTGGCCTTTTCTCTAACTTTTTGTTGTTAAGTTTACTAGTTTACTAAGCTTTCCATTTGAGGGGATGAAAACAATGATTTAGCAAACCCTAATGCCAAATAATTATCATTATTATTAATTTTGTTTTTTTGGAAGAAATGTTTATAGTTTAATTTTTTTACTCTAACAAGTAATTTGAAATGGTCGTGTAGCAGATCAAACTAACAATAGTTTATCACAAAGATTTACCCTCTAAATATTGAATTAAACAAACATCAAATTTAATAAATTAATTGAGAGAAGTCACTCTATCTAGTCTCACAAGAAAGAAACTTAACCGTCTCATATAAGAATGGAAAAAATACACTTAAATAATTTCAACTTTGCCTAATTTACTTTAAATAATCCCAACTTTCAATTATTCTGCAATAATCCCAACTTTCACCTGCGTTTTCTTTCTTCAATCTCAATTACCGATAACATTAAGAAAGGGTTAGTTTATTTTTTATTAAAAAATAGAACTGCCACGTGTTGCATCATGTTTATTTGTTCTAAATAGGAAAAAAAAATTATTAAACAAAAAATCAAAGCCCAAGCCAATACACATCCATGACCACAATTGTGTCGAAAATCGGTGGCGGGGTTGGGAGGGGGTGGTTTGGGGTTAGGCTGGGGAGAAAGGTGGTCGGTGTATGGTTTAAATTTTGTAATCTTTTTTCCATTTTTTTCTAAAAATTTGGACCAATTACGTGTTGACACGTGTTAGGCCACCTAGTGTATTAGATTGTTGACCGGTTTGAGATTGTTAGAAGAAAACGCACATCAAATTTGCGATTATTACAGAATAATCGAAAATTGAGATTATTTAAAGTAAATTGGGTAAAGTTTAGAATATTAAAATGAATTTTTCCTATATCAATCTACTTACCTAAAAGATAGAAATCCTAAGTTGTTTGAAGACACACAGTCAAGACTTTCTTTGTCAAACAGAGTAGGAATGCTGCGCCAATGTAGGACAAAGAGTGAAATAGACTAGCAAATAAGAATCAAATCTAGTTAAATATTGTTAGAGATCAAACCAACCTACAAGATAGGAACATGTTAAGAACTTCATCCTATTTTCAATTATGACGTATCACGTATTTTTGTCCCACATGAATTAGAAGTTTCTTTCTAATTTAAGACACAAAAAACAATGCCAAACTTTGGTGGAAAATACCTCAAATAAACATCATTAATAAACTTATTTTCTAATATTATTAAGTCCTAATAAAAATCAAACCTGCTCATTAATAGTCGGTTATACACATATACCTTATATTATGCAACTAAAAATAAACACAACATGTTTTTCTTTGACTTTTTTTCACCCGAAAATAAAAATTGTCGAAATGTTTACCATGGTCACTAATATCCTCCGGGAGTCCAATTGGCGGGGTGGAACCATCCAATTTGCCTTTAAATGACCAATTTACTGGTTTACAACTTGCACCGATTTCATTAACTCAAGCTTACCACGAACATTTATGACAACATATAATGATCATATATGGATCCAAATGACATTATGTGACCTCGAGATGTATCCACTAAAATCTCAATACTTTTCGACACCGGGCCGCGAAACATTCAAAATTTCTCAAAAAGCATGGATATTATCCTTTAATTTTGGAATTTTTTGACTTTTTTCGCCCGGATATAATTGCCGAAATGTTTACCATGGTCCCAAACACCCTCCGAGAGTCCAATTGGGTGGGTGGAACCATCCAATTGGGTGGATTTCAATTTTGAAATTTTTGACTTTTTTTTCGCCCGCAAATAAAAATTGCCGAAATGTTTACCATGATCCCAAATACCGTTCGGGAGTCCCATTGGGTGGGTGAAACCATCCAATTTGTCTTTAAACGACCAATTTACCGGTTTACAACTTGCACCGATTTCATTAACTCAACCGACTACGAACATTTATGACAACAAATAATGATCATATATGGTCCCAAATAGCATTATATGACCCCGAGATGTGTCCCATAAAATTTTAAGACTTTTCGACACCGGGCCCTGAAACCTCCAAAATTTCTCAAAAAGCGTGGATATTAGTCTTTAATTTTGGAATTTTTTGACTTTTTTTCGCCCGTAAATAAAAAATTGCCAAAATTTTTACCATGGTCTCTAATACCCTCTGGGATTCCAATTAAGTTGGTGGAACCATCCAATTGTCTTTTAAGCGGCCAATTTAATTACCGGTTTACAACTTGCATGGATTTCATTAACTCGCCTATTACGAACATTTATGACAGCATATAATGATCATATATGGTTCCAAACGGCATTATATGACCCCAAGATATATCTCCTAAAATATTAATACTTTTCTACACATGACCTCAAAACCTCCAAAATTTCTCAAAAAGCGTGGATAGCCTTCAGTTTTGAAGTTTGTTGATTTTTTTTTCGCCCGGAAATAAAAATCGCTGAAATTTTTACCATGGTCCCAAATAACCTTCGGGATTCCAATTGGATGGGTGAAACCATCCAATTTGCCTTTAAACGACCAATTTACCGGTTTACAACTTGCATCGATTTCATTAATTTAAGCCTACCACGAACATTTATGACAACAAATAATGATCATACATGGATCCAATCGACATTATATGATCCCGAGATGTATCCCATATAATTTCAAGATTTTTCGACACCGGGACCCGAAACCTCCAAAATTTCTCAAAAAGTGTGGATATTAGCCTTCAATTTTGGAATTTTTTGACTTTTTTTTTTCGCCCAGAAATTATATAAAAATTGCCAAAATGTTTACCATGGTCCCTAATACCTTTCTGGAGTCCAATTGGGTGTGTTAAACCATTAAATTTGCTTATAAATGACCAATTTACCGATTTATAACTTGCACCGATTTACCGGTTTACAACGGCCAATTTAATTAACTTGTACCAAACCAGAGTTGAACCGAAATTGATCCAAACCCGTTTTAACCCGTCAAAACCTGAATTTAACCCGACTTGTTACTAAATTGACCTGAATTCAACCCGATCCGTTTCTAGCCTTACCCGAATTTAACCCTACCTGTTACGAACCCGACCCGAAATCAACCCGACTTGTTATTGACCTGATCCAAATTCAACCCGACTTGTTATTGACCCGACCCGAATTTTACCATACCTATTACTTACCCAACCCAAAAATTCAACCCGATTTGTTACTAACCCTACTCGAAATTAACACGACTTGTTATTGATCCGACCTAAATTCAACCCAAATTGTTCCAGACCCGATTTCAAATCACCTTAAATGCAATTTAGACCACCTTATTATTGTTGATCAAAGAATTTTGTCTTGGGAGACCAAGTCGGCCAAGGCCAGCAAAAGAAAGGAGCATCATCCTCAAATTTAAGAGTTAAATATAGTATATATTTGTTGTATGGTCAAAGGAGCTAATTATCTTCCTAAATTATAGACTATAGTTCCCTAGTATATTGCCATATATATATTATAGTCAAAGGAAATAATTATCTTGATAAAAATGATAATTATCTATTTATAGTTTGTTGAACCCGAATATGACCTGACCTGATTGTAACCTGCAAATTATTGACTTGAACATAACCTGACTTGAATATGAGAATGACCTGACTTGGAAATAGCCCAATATGATTATAACCCGCAAATTATTGACTTGATCCGAACCCGACTTGAAACCGAGAATGGCCCGACTTGAAAATGACCCGACCTGATTATAATACGCAAATTATTGACTTGACTTGAACCGAATCCGACTCGAACCGAATCCAACTCGAACCCGAGAATTACCCTAACCCGTTTTAACCCTTGGAAACCCGAATTAAACTAGACCTATTGTTCACCCTACTCGAATGTAACCCAACATGTTATTAACCCGACCCAAACCTGATAAGAAGTATGACCCGACGTGACCCGATTCAAGCATGACCCAACCCAAACCTGACCCGCATAGGTTATGTAATTAATCTGAATTGACCTAACCTGAGTTGACCCGACCCACTCTTACCCGACCTAAACGCGACTCGTTTACCCGAATTGACGGCTCTAATTGTAAGAACTCTAAATAATACGAAATTTTAATGGACAAGGACTCAAATTTGTAACTTTATTATATATTCTACAGTACCATATAATTTTATATACGTAGTACATAACAATTAAAGATGACCTATTTTCACTAACTTACAAATTTTCTTGATTCACGTTGTTAGTCTTGTTACAGCTTAATTAAGACTGCATAAGGATATAGAAGAAGTGTTGGAAATAGGTAATTCAAACGGATGACTCGCGCCCGATCGGGCGGCGGACAAGAGTTTTTGACGAGAACTCTCGCGCCCGATCGGGCGGCCTTCGCCCGACCGGGCGGCGGACTCGAGTTTTTGACGAGCCCGATCGGGCAGCTTCGCCCGATGGCTTGCCCGGGATGGGGTTTTTAGATCCCCCGACCGGGCGGTGTTCGCCCGACCGGGCACGACACTACGTCTGGAGAAACTCGATCTCGCGCCCGATCGGGCGGCAGCTTGCCCGATCGGGCCCGCCTTTTTTCCTAGGTCGGTTTGCTTTGCGTGTTTACTTTTCCGGGACTCATATAAATACGAGTTTTGCCTTTTCATGAGAGTCATTCACTTTCTAGCAAAAAACACAAACCTACCTTTTGAGATCTGAACAGTTCTTGAGCAATTCAACTCTTCGAGTTCGGGTGCACGGATTACGGAGAGAGTTGCGTTAAACTTGGGGGGCGTGCGTCACTAGGAAACTTGTACCGATGGTGGCGTATTTCGCTTCTAAGGCAGTGGATTTTGTTCCACGGCG